TAAAAGCCCGGGCCTAAAGCTAAAACTAAAATGAACTAAAGTCTAAAGTAACTCCAAGGAACAATTACAACCCTATTTCAAGCTTTTGCATAGTTCACAAGAGTCCCCTCCCCACCCCCTCCCCCTTCCCTGCCCTCTCCAGGAGTCCCGCCTGGAACTGCTTATGTTCAGAAGATAATAATATCTAATTATTCATGCCCAATTCACCAATCAACGTCGCTCCTGGAATGAAGTGAAAAAAATGCGATTTTTCTTCTTTTTTTAACAGCAATATGTCGTGAGAGCTATTCTATTCAAAGAACTGACGAAACAGTCCCAGGGAGAAGACGACTCACCGTAAGACGGGATACGATATTTGACATCGAAATTGCCAGCCAATTTTCCAGTAGCAATTGTATGCACTGCAGTACTAGCGAATTCCGCTTCATGATCGTCTCCCAATTTTGTGTGCGCATCCACTCGCAAAAGGCCAAAGTCTGAAATAAACCAGAACAAAAACCACAGAAATCCAGCATCCACGGGCACTCAGTCCACTGATAAGCACACAATGACCACTTTTAACAACATCTTACAACTATTCATACAATAATAATAGGAGCGACGTAACAGGAACAATAACGATAATAATGATAACAGTAGTGGACAACAACAGCAACAATAATAATAAAAGTAATGACAATAATAACAATAATAATAGTAATAGCAGTAATAATAATACTGAGTGACCTCAAATTATTCATGCCACCTTATTCATAACTGCCGGCCTAAAACCTCAACTAAATCTGGCATCAGAGGTCAGGATGAGTTCAGTTTTTTTTCATTACAGAAAGTCAGCGCAATGCGCTTCAAATCTGAATTTCGGTAGTTCGGCAACTGAAAGGTATGGCCCCCTCAGCCGAAATGCACGTTGGTCCAACTAGTGTGGTTGAAAGTTTCGTGAAATTCCACGCCAGTTAGCCGGCAGCCTCCACGCGGTGGGGATTGGTAAACCCGTCTCTGTTGCGTTGAAGAGTATGGAGAAACGGCCGAAATGCAAAAGAGTGTAAGGAGAAGCCGAAACTTACGATAGCCTTTTGTGAACAGCTCTCGTGCCGCCTTGCCCAAATCGATGTAGCTCGGGAAGAACATATTTATATCAACCTGCAACAACAGCAATTTTAACCCGTCAAAAAACGACCAGTACATGTGGACAACGCCCACCAAAGTCAGCCCATGCGACTTTACCCAAAATCGCACAGGGACAACTGGCTGACTGGCCCACCGACGCCCTTGAGTAGCAGAGCCACCTCCTGCACAAAACGCACATAACAAGCCAAAACTACGCCTAGCAGGCCAATTTACCGACTTCACAAAGCAAGCCTGTCAAGCTGACCCACGTCGGGCTAGACTTGGGATGACGAACTACCGGACGGCTACTTCAGCGGTCACAACCCAGGCCCGCCACGCTTACCGAGATGACCTGCTGGGGTACCAAGGCTACGCCCCGACTCGCCAAACCATATTTTTAGGTAGGCCAAAGCAACGACCCATCACCACCAGATCGAGTCAATCAGGCGACCAACGCGGCAGCCATAGCCCAGAAGCAAGGAACCCTCCCCACCGAACCCCAGCAACCACCGAGACCGAGGCCGATTTTAGGCGGGCGCACTCAGGCAGCCAACACCCATCCTCGGGACCAACAACTCAACGCATTCGCACATCCAAAATGCAGCTCAAACCCGCGAACCGGCGCTTTTATAGCCATTTCACGCCAGCCACGCCACGCACGTCAAAAAGACCGCTCGGCCGAACGCAACCCTCACGTATCGACCAGCCGCAACGCACCAACCACGCGAAAACCAACCGCGCACCACCCAGCTCCACTCACCACGAACAAAACTGACAAACTTCGGCCAGAAATTACTAGAACTCGGCTCGGCCGCTCTTTTGAGATACCCTCGTTCCTCTGCTGCTACTGAGACAGCTTCTCCAGGCGCTTCGACAACGTCTCAAGAGCCTGTGCAACGTAGTTTTAGCGCGGGGACGGGAAGCGGAGTG